TAGATTTTTTTTCTGATAAACTGAAGGATGAAGTGTTCCGTCAGAGGTTGAGAAAATTTCCCCCCTTCTTGAGCTAAATAAACTCTTTTAAACCCCTCTTGGATCAGCTGGAAAACGCACTGTCTCAAAGCAGATAACAGGGCTGTTTTTCTGACACCGTAAAAAGTGACTTTTAAGAGATGCATGGTTCTCACAGGCCAGCCATGCTACAAACATATGATGATGTCATAGAATATAATGCATTGCTATAGATTAGAGTACCCAACAGTACATAAAGGAGGTAAAATTAGCAAAATCTGCAGCAGTAAAATGCAATAAGTATGATTCTCCCCTACAATATGGCATGAATTTGCCATTTTTTAAGACAAGGAAAACTCTGCAGCTTTACCAGATATATCACTTGAACCTCACCGTCATGTTGCACAATATAACCACTTCATGTACTAATAATAGTTACTAAACGTAAAGGGACAATTCACCCTAAAATCCCGTAGCTATCATGACGTCACTAATTGGTTTCTGGACTCCTGTACTGAAGCATCAAGTCTGACATTACAGCCGTTGCCATCTTAGTTTTTTGGAGCCAGAAGTAGCCATATTTGGGCGAGAGGCTGGCGCTGCAGAGGAGCAAGGGGTGGTTTTAACTGCGAAGCCGAGGACAGCATGTCAATCAAAGCACCCCGCCCTTAATTACGTGTAACTTTAAGCCTTAATAAATGTAAACGGGTGAGTTATATGAAAATGTGTCCCCTGTACAGTTGTCATGAGTGTTGAAATTAGCTACCAGGCTGTAAACTAGGGCTGCCACGATTAGTCGACTAATCAATGACTAATCGACTATTAAAAAAATTGGTGACTATTTTAGTAGTCGACTAATCAGTTTGAGTCATTTTTCATAGAAAAGTACAATAAAAGTACCCCAAAATACTCTTACTGCATTTTCTTACGTTCAGATATTGGCAGCTTTACACACTCTCCCATGACAGTGAACTAAAACCCTTTGGCGAGAGTATGAAACAAGACATTAGATGACGTAATTTTGGGGTTTGGGCAAGACAGACTGACATTTTTCAACATTTTAACACATTTTTCGATAAAATGATTAGTGGACTAATCGAAGAAATAATCAACAGATTAGTCGTCAATGAAAATAATCGTTAGTGGCAGCCCTACTGTAAACATGTTTATTTTAGCTGTAAAGTTGTGCATTTTAACATAAGGTTCCATGGGGACTGACTGGCTTGATGGCATTTGCTTGTGATGCTCAAAGTGCCAAAATCACATTTGAAAAACTCAACAGCAATGCATCTTCCCAGATATCATGACCCTGTCATTCAAGCTAATCCACAGACCTTGTTGTGACCAGTTTCACGTAGGAACCATTTTCTACCAACCGAACTACACCCACCAACTGTATCAACACACAGAAGGAATCGTGCATCTACTCATGAGCGAGAGGCTTGTGCTCCTAACAGCGCGAGATGTTAACATTAATGGTGCCCTCCTCGGCTGAGCTGTAACATTAGCTAGCTCGGTGGTGAGCTAGCAGTAGATGCATGCTTCCTTCTACAGGTAAGAGGAAATACTTATGTTTAATTTTGGGGTGAACTGCCCCTTTAATGCAGCTAAATTTTAATCCAAAAACATCATATATACTGGTAATAGTAAAACAGGGACAGGTACCATTTTACTACTGATAATACTTGCATACTTTCACTTAAGGAAGGTTTTGAATGCAAGCCTTTTACTTTTAGTGGTGGTGTATTTTTTACAGTGTGGTATTGCTACTCTTGCTTAAGAAAGGATCCTAATACTTCTTCCACCCCTGGCCAAACGTTAAGGATTAACATGACAAATAGATAGGATAGGTGAGGAGTCAAGAGATGGACACAGACAAACTGTCCTGATCCAGACTGTTTGATGTTGTAAAAGAGGAACAGAGACACAGCAGCATATCTCCCATCCTTGTCATCTCATATCTATTCAATTACCGCTGGACTGAAAGCTAAGCTGACATCGATGCTCACTCTGCTTTCACCGTAAGTGCCAAGACTATCTCGCTGCTATCAGGGGGACAAAAGTGAAGCCCTTTGGTTGCGTCGTCATCACGCAGCAACTTTATCTACCCATGTTGCATCACTGCTCAGCATTCACATGTACAGCTCACTGCCAACAAAGGGCCTCTCCTCTGGGAACAGAATGAACTGCGGAGAGTAACGCCGGTTTCTCCCACAGAGTGAATCACAAAGCTTCGGATAGAGACTCTTGCTCTTGCATTCTCCTCCTCTCTCAAACAGCTGACAGACTTGCACAGTGGGCTTTGGTGGCAGATAGCCAATCTCGCCTCCCTCGTTCTGTGAGATGAGCTAAGCCATGAGTTACTTACAGAATTTGGGGGAGAGAAAAAAAAAATCACTTTTATCTCTTCTTATGGGAGAGACATCAAATTCCCATCCAGCAGACACACACAGGGTTGGAAATTAGCACCAGCCACCAGCCAAATGCTGGTAAAATACACACGTTGTGCTAGCTTTGCTTTAGCCAAAAAACAATAGCAATCTACTGAGTGGCTGATAGATTTTGGAATCCACCAGCTACTGTGACAGCCCTGCATATATCCAAATGGTTAAAAACCCCTTGGATCATCTCACAAAAAATACTGTGCAACTTTAGAGCCGAAGTAACTACTTATTCAATTGAGTTTCAATGATTTTATAAGCAAAAATGCCAACATTTGCTGGGCTGAGGCTCTAAAATGTGTGGATTTTGTGCTTTTCTTTTACACATATGGTAGAAAATTGAATACATTTGGGTTTTTGAGTGTTGGTAAGATAAAACAAGCAATATGAGCATGTAATCTTAGGGTCTGGGACAATATCTTGAGCATTTTCTGACATGTACAAGCCCAGACAATTCAGGAACAAATCAGCAGATTACGCTATAACATATTTAGTCCACCAGCTACAGTGGCAGGTGGACAAAAAAATAATCTCCAACCCTGGGTATATTCAGATGATCAGAAACCCTTTGGACCACCTTACTATAGATACCGTGCAACTTTAGAGCTGAAGTAACTACTTATTTAATTAATTAGTGGATCAACAAAAATAAATCTGCAACTAGTTTAATAACCATGTTAATGTTTCAGTGATTTACAAGCAGAAATGCCAAACATTTGCTGAGCTGAGGCACTGAGATGTGTGGATTTCGTGCTTTTCTTTTACACATATGCTAGAAAATTAAATATATTTGGGTTTTAGAGTGTTGGTAAGATATATGAGCAATATGCAATATGAGCACGTAATCTCAGAGTCTGGCACAATATCTTGAGCATTTTCTGCTATTTTCTTACATGCACAAGCCGAACATATTTGTCTATAATTAAAATAATCCACTTTCTGACATGTAGGCCTACAAGCCAAAACAATTTGGGAACAAATCAGCAGATTATGCTATAAGATTTTTTGTCCACCTAAACATTAATCACCAACTCTGCGTATATTCAGATGTTTAGAAACCCTTTGGACCACCTTACTATAGATACTGTGCAACTTTAGAGCTGAAGTAAATACTGATTTACTTGATAAGGGGATCAACAAAAATAAATCTGCAACTATTGTAATAACTGAGTCATCGTTTCAGTGATTTTAAAAGCAAAACTGCAAAACATTTGCAGGGCTGAGGCTCTGAGATGGGTGGATTTCATGATTTTCTTTTACACATATGTTAGAAAATTGAATATATTTTGGTTTTTGAGTGTTGGTAGGACAAAACCAGCAGCACAAGCATGTAATCTTAGGGTCTGGGACAATATCTTGAGCATTTTCTGCTATTTTTTCACATGCACAAGCCAAACATAGTTGTCTACAATAAACATAATCATTAGTTGCAGTTTATATAACATACAAGTAGAATCAGAAGATTAAACTGCCTGTTTCTAGCTTCACAATAGAAATAAAACAGTGAAATACACCAATGTTTTCCACGCCTTATGCTGCTGAATAATCCAGCATGTGCTATTCAAGTCACAAACCTCATCACCACCCCATTAACAAAACAGTAATGACTCAACAATTATGGCTAATGAGGGCATCCAAATGTGGTTACTGCCCAATAAGCGGGATGCTTCAGTCCAATAGGCGTGTTGCTATGGATAAAACACCATCCAGCATGGGGGCTATCTCTGTAAAAGTCTGCATGTGTTAGATGATCTAACCACTGATGTGTATCTGATCATAGGGTGGCAGGTAAGAATGGAAATCTCCTGCTCTGTGGCAGTGGAGAAGCAAACTCCCATTCAAGCTATGATATCATTACCATATAAGAGAATCTAGGGCACATTATCACACTTCACAAAAATTCAGAGTGTGTTAAGAGTGTGAGTCACAGTTTATATCTTCAGGGCAATCAACCTGTCTGATGGCTGAGTGCTGAACGTCTGAGCAGTTGGTTTTTTTTACCTTATGTCTCGATTGTAACTGCGTTGTGTCACATTTTTACAAACTTGCCAAGTCATTAAACTTAACTGCAAATGAATACACCCTGTTAATGCCAGCCTGTATTAGCAACAGTGATATAACACAAGTGTGACAATCTGAAAAAGATATCACGAATTATGAGGTAGCTTTGCCATAATTTTACACCGAGTTGGTTTCGTTATTTTGCTGAGTAACGTTCACCTCAAAGTTAACCAGGTAAGTTGAGGTAAGTTAACGTTAGCTAGCTATAACACCTCTTAGCTCGCTCGGTAGCGCTGAAGCAGACCCTTTTTAACACAAATAAAATATGTTAAACACCCTCACAGCTTATATTTTGCTTTTCTGTCTCAAAGTCAGGTTAGCAAGCAAGCTAAAAGCCGTGTAATTGTGTCTACGGGGAGCTAGGAGCCGCGGAGCTAACGTAGCTGCGTGTGCCGCATCCGAAAATCCCAAGCTAGTGCAGCTTAGCTCCGCGGGCTAACAAGCGTCACCGGGCGGGCTAATTACAACACGCCGACCTACCTGTGATCACCGCTGCGACCCAGAAGATGCCCCGTTAAAGCCGTCGCCCCGTGTACCACGAACCGTGCAGTGCCGAAATAATTCAAATTCCACAGAAAGTGTCGGGAGAGACGCTCGCAGTCCAATCGCTTCAGCCACCGCCGCTGAATGGCTGCTACTCGGAGACTCAACCAAACTTCCTCCTTAGCAACGGACCGCCCCCGCGCGACCTCATTGGCCGGCGCGTGCAGAGTGGAGGTGATCGATAGACGGCAGCGCAGCCTGTGTCACACCGGACTGTTACTGCATGTTTAAACCAGGAGACTTATCACTGTGAGGGAAACATCAGATGCTACAAATACTTTCAATAGCTTAAATAGCTGAGCTGTGACCTGCTGATAGAGTCCAGCTTGAAAACCTTTATGGTTGTCCTATTTTGGAATTAGGACAAATGCCACTGTGTTCCTTTGATAAAGAGATGTCAGGATGGAAGTTGACCTCTCTGTCCCACCTCCATGCACACTTTAAAGCACATATATATAATCCCATGCAATATGTATCTGAGTCTCCAGCAGTAGCAGGAGAAGCACAGGTATAGATTTCAGGGGGGGACACGACCCCCTCTTACTATTTAGAGAATTTGTCCCAGCCCCGATAAAACTATGAAAGCAGCAGAGAACTTTTATTCTGACAAACTTAAAGACATTTTCATCATAAATTGACGCAGACAAAGATACACTAAAACAGAGGACCCACAAACCTTTGTCTTTCAGGTTCCAAACATTTGTCTCTTTTACTATTTATATAACTTATTGGTCCTATCTGCCTTTTTCACACTATCTTGTAACTTTATACTGTGTGTTTATGTAACCGGTGGACTCTAGTGTTGTCTCAGTTGTGTTGATATGAAGAGGCCCAGAATGTGGTTATCTTTGGAGGCGATCTTTGTTTACTCCTGACAACAGACAACAAAAGCTAAAAACACAATCCTCCATCAAATTCGAGCATATAAACTCGAGCCCCTGTCCCATAGAGTAGAGACACCTCTTTATAGGTGGGGTACCTCCAAAGGTGAGCACAGGGGGACAGAAACTGAGTATCAAGGCCTGAGTGTGTCAGGTAATAACGAATGAAACAAATTTTGTGTAATTATAATACTTAATATTACAAATGTACATTTGACTTTGTTACACATTTTACTACTGTATAATTGACCCTGTTACATGTATACCTTTGTAATGATGTATTGTGTCTTTGTTTGAGAGAAGCTGAAGACAAATTTCCACTGAGGTTGACAATAAAGTTTGTCTATCTATCTATCAATCTATCTATCGATCTATCTATCTACAGAGGTGAAAGAAATACTCACATTTTTTACTTTATATACTGCAGGGACAGCGTTAGGCTTTACCTAAAATAATACATGATAATTTATTAGTTGATTTATATTGTGTATTAATAATATTAACCTACAAATTAATGTGTGTCTACAGTCAAATAAATATAGTGGAGTCAAAAGTAGAATATTTCCCTCTGCAATGTGGTGCAGCAGAAGTAAATTGGAAATATAAGATCCTTAAGTATAGTACAAGTACCTCAAAACTGTACTTAAGTACAGTACATGAGTAAATGTACTTAGTTACATTTCACCACTGGATCTTAATACATAGGTATTGAAACAAATAATTGTTTACCAGTCAAAGTCTGGCATTTAAAAGTATAATAATAGAAAGTCCAACAGCTAAATATACGTGAAGTATCGAAAGTAAAAGTACTCCATGCCCCCCATGAGTGTTGACGTTATTTATATCATTTAAAAATATATCATTATTACTGCTGCATCAATGTGCTCTGAAAACAACATGGTACTTTTGTATTTGGTTGAGATGGAGCTAGATTTAACGTTAGTTGTAATCTAAAACAATAAAAATGCATCAACATTTATGTTTAAGTTGACATTAAGTTGATCTTTGTGTGTAAAAATCAAAATGCACAGAGTAACTTGTGACTAACACTGTGAAATTAAGTGTAAAAAATAGGATTTCTCCTCTCTGAAATCCCTCTAGAGTTTTAGAAGTATAACGTAGCATAACTACTCATCGTAATGCCCAGCTTAAGTAAGAGGAGTGTGTGAGTTAATATACTTCTTTACATGTTGCCTCTGCTGTGAAGCACCTGACCCATTCTTCATTATATTCTCTATCTGTCTGATATGCAAATACACCCGGTCAGAGAGGGAACTCTGTGGGACACCACAGTCTCACTTATATCCTTCCTGTTTTACATGAGGTCATTAAAGTCGTCTTCTTCTTGTCTCTTGGTTAGTTTTGATCTGTGGCCATGTTCCACTGACCAACACTCGCGGTGCTGTGTTTAAAAACGGATTTTTAAAAAAAATATTTATTGTCATTTACCCTTTTGTTCTCCCCCACCCCCCTCTCCTCCCCTGATGATGAAACCTCGGCCCCCTTTAAAGGCCACAAGTTTATCAGCATTAACCTGCATTCCTCACATAGCTGTGGAGCTTACTGGGCTGCAGCGGGGAAGGTTACAAAACCAGAGTAAGAGAGAAAAAACTAACAAAGTTGTCAAGCCGGTTATGCTGACAAATGTCATGCCAATGTATTTCATTGCAGCCACACACACACACACACACACACACACACACACAGACACACACACACACACACACACACACACACACACACACACACACACACACACACAGTCTCTATCTTCCTTTTACAACCACTCTCCTTTTATTCTTAACTATCTTAAGTCCAATCTTCTTTATGACTCGTCTTTTACACCAGGTCTTCATCCATCACCTGTCAAGGTCAGAGTCTCTAAATGTTGCTGAGGATCCTCTCATGTATCTGTGAGGACATTCTGCCCCCCTGTGGTCAATATGTGTAAACTCAGCTACACAGCTGGTGCACACACACACACCTGTTTTCACTCACTGTGCTTAATTACACCTCACTTATTTCCCTGCATTGATTTTGTCACTTCATCATATGTTACCCATTTAAAATCTGTTCTCATGGCATGATTGAACTCGTTAGTGTTAGAAGACGTACTGAGTTCTGTCACTTTCGTAATAGTACTAATAAAACAGTGTAGAAACTCTTCGCCACATGTTAAAGTCCTGCACTCAAAATTTTACCTGAGTAGAAGAACAAAAGTGTTGGTAGGATGCTAACATAGTATGCTGAGACTTCATTGAGCAGGGGTGTCAAACTCATTTAAGTTCATGGGCCACACACAGCCCAGTTTAATCTCAACTGGGCCACACACCTGTAAAACCATTTTATATTAATCTATAACCAACAATCTCTCCCCTCTTCTAGTGTAAATAAGTGCATTCTGTAAATGGTTGCTCATTTATGAAACAGACGATGAACAGCCTGAGATGTCTAAAAGAAAATTAAGTGCAGTTATGCTTATGCAGTTTGTATAACAGCAATGTCAAATGTGTTCTGCTGTACGGATCAGAGAGTTGGCGAGTGCTCAAAACAGATCTGATGAGAGTGGAAGCCTTTCACACTGGACACCTCAGGTGAATATGCCAGATCTTCTGACCAAACAAAATCTCCTTCAACTGTACAAGAAAACAGGTAGCCGGATCATCACCAAGGAAATCACACACAGACGTTTGAGATGTCTAGGACTTGCTAAGAATGGAACAGGGTTGGATCACGAAAGTCGCCTTAAGATGGACACCATCAGGCAAAAGAAAACCTGGAAGGCCCAAAACCACCTAGCGCAGAACTGTGACACTGGAGTTGGAAATTATGAACATGTCATGCGGAGAGGCGCAACATGCTGCCAAGGATCGAATACAATGGAAAGAGTTAAGTGAAGCCCACAGAAGATGAAGAGGAGTAAGTAAGTACTGAAGCTGCTGATAGACGATATTCTTCACAGTGTTAAATATCTAGTTCAATATGACCAGAATGAGTAATCATTGTTTTCTGGTCAGGGTGGAAAAGCCTCTGAGCAGCATTTTACATGAAGTAGGATTCTCACTTTTTAACTTGCTCCTGAAACAGGGGTGCAAAGTAATCCAGTGGGTCATATTGGACCCTTTGGCAGGCTGGTTTCTGGCCCGCAGATCATAAGGCTGACACCATGCTTTTAGAGTTATCCTGCAATAAACATAAGTTTAGAATAGGTGAAGAGTTTGACCTGTTGGTAGCACTGAATTCAAAGTCAGTAAACTAAAGTTTGTGCCACTTTTAATGGCGATTCATATAATAGACGAGGTAGACGGAGAGTTGAAATATGTGTCAGACCAACAGACTAACCTTTCGACACCACCAGCATTTCAAACACAAAGCTAAAATATTTATAATGTTCTTTATTAGATTGTTGAAATACTTGTTGAATAAACGTCTCGAAGTGGATGGGGTGGTAGTACCTCAGTCTATAGGGACTTGGATTAGGAACCATAGGGTTGCTGGTTCACGTTCCTGTACGGACCAAGTATGGAGCATGGACTGGTAGCTGCAGAGGTGCCAGTTTGCCCTTGAGGGTGCTGCCGAGGTGCCCCTCAGTAAAGCACTGTATCCCCAACTGTTCCATGAGCAGCCCCCCCCCCACTCTGACATCTCTCCATTTAATGCACATGTAGGTCCTGTTTGTGCTTGTGTGTGTATTTCAGACCTGTGTGTAAATAACAGCAGAGTGAGAAATTGAATTTCCCCTCAGGATTAATAAAGTATATCCTCTTCTTCTTAAATATTTAGTATGTATTTGTAATGAACCAGGATTTCTGTACATTCGGATTGTTAACAAGTGTGTTTGTTGTTTAAAAACATAAAATTTAATATTGATTTTTATTTTGTTTTAATTTTTGTTTTCTGTTCAGTTAGTTAGTTTTCAGTTTATTTTTTGTTGTTTAAAAATGTTTAGTATTCGTTCAGTTTGTATCAGTATTATTATTTTAAATGGACCTGCACTTTCACGGCGCCTTTCTAGTCTTATGACCACTCAAAGTGCTTTTTACACGAGTCACATTCACCCATTCCCACATAAATTCAAACATGGGTGACCGAGGCTACCGTGTAGGTGCCACCTGCTCCTCAGTTTTTAACACACTCACACAACAATGGAACAGCCACTGGACGCATTTTGAGGTTCAGTATCTTGTTCCAGGACACTTCGAGATGCAGAC